GTTTATAATCATGACCGACAGACCAGCATCGAAGAGCTCGAAGGTAGTGGTCTATACAAGAATATAACGGGATAAGAGAGCTGGATGGCTCCACTAAAGCTGTTAAAGATAGCTGATTAGCTGCTGGACACTGTAATTGTATAAACACGTGGTCAATCGCCATAGCAACTATCTAAACCGTTTCCATGGAAATTCTTATTAGCATTCGCGAAAATTAGTCGTCCAGCCAATTGAAATCATGGAATGTGCAACTAATAATCACATGCGTGGGTGGTACCCTGAACCATAGATAATAGAGTATAAAGGGATTGGAAACTGCGTGGGCGGCCTGTATAAACCAATGGAGGCAAAGACTTGTAGTTCATAAATCTTCTCCAGAAACTCAAATTTTGTGTTGTAAAAGTGACAAAGTTTCTGTACCTTTTTCTCCGAAACAGTAAACATTTAAGCTAGGAAAGAAACACAAGGAACAGGTAGCATATTGCTTTAGTGAACTGGCTAGTAATGGTATTGATATGTTCTTTTGAAATCGGCCTATAAAACTGTCATTCATCTGGCAAGATTTGGCTCTTCTCCTTTGACTTGTACATTGTAATTATTGAATGCGGAAAATTAGAATCTAACTACCGCCTACACAGTTACCAATCCCTTTATACTCTATTATCTATGCCCTGAACACGTGTTTCCGTCTGCTAGTCACGTGATCATTAGCCAATGGGATCACATCCCATTGGTCAGGAAGACTATAGCTTATATACACTTCCTTATACATTTTATTTCCAGCACACAGTAATGTCAGTACATTTATCAATTAATTCATCTAAAGTTTGATTGGACACGCCCAAGGAGCAGCATATCTCATCAGAACAATGGGATCCATCCAAATATCTGATAAAAAAAGAAAATAATACACTTGCATACAAATGTAATAATAATAATAATAATGATAATAATAATACTTGATTAATGGTTATAGCTCAGTAGGTATATCACTGTTCTCCCTGTTCAGTACTGGATATTTCTGTAAGTGATGAATCAAGCCTTCCATGATCCCAAACTGTATCAGTTTCCTGTTAAATGATCAAATATTGTTCATCATGCACATGAAGTACCTTTCATCAATACTCATTGATCTCGGATCATTCCTAAAGCACAAGTCTTTTACACTCAAACCAGCTTCCAAACTGCACAGGATTCTAAATACATCTGCTAACTTTGGTCTTGTATCTATAGCAACATGAAGGGCTGCAATAAATGGCTACAAACTTTCACTTGAAGTCTTCTCTTACCTCCAAGTGATACAAACTGAAGACATCTTGTCTGTAATTCTTCCTCAGTCATTAGTTGAGGTAACTTTTGAGTTGGTACATAAACATTACAATACTAACAAATAAATAAATAAATTAATTAATTAATTAACAAATTAAGGAAATACAAGTATTTCATGTACCTAAAAGATGCTTAGTAATTTAAAAATCCAAAAATCCTAATTAAAAATAGATACGCTAGTGATACTATTAATAGTAACAGTGTTACTATTAATAGTAACAGAGTTACTATTAATAGCTTACACTAAATCCTGGATGCATTCCTTGACTATCACAGGGCTCACTTCAGAAAGGTCAGATATCTTAGCAACATGATTGAACCTATTCACATATTCAATTATCTATTGATCAATTAATAATTAATAAATAATTAATTATTAATTAACCTCTTGAGCCACCAGGTCCTTCACCAGTTGCTTGAACTGACAAGAAGATTGAGTGAAGACTGGTACGTGATGGTCACAGACTAACGGAGGCTACTTTACATTAGGAGAAACCTTCAGACGAAGAGTATATCAGTATCATCTAAATGGAAATTTAAAAATTTCAAATTTCAAATTTTCAAATACCTATTCTAATGATACAAATCCCAGTTGAGTTTAATCTAGTCAGTAATTGTGTTAGTATCGAAGGTATTGTTGATTTTGATGATTTAGTAGATAAAAAATGACTCTCTAACTACATGAAAACAAACAAGATAACCATAAAGCTGGTGATAATGGCAGCTAATTCATAATTGGTAGATTGTCTGTTGGGATGAGCACCTGTCAATATGATAAATACTCCATTTTGTTTTGTTCTTCACATGCTCTCAGTGGCACATCTACCATATATCGGGTATATTTCAATGCATTAATAATTTCGGAAAAAGCAATCCATTGCGAAAATAAATATTATGAAATTTTAAAATATGCAGATAAAAAGGAATAGAAGATATGTGGTACTGTACAATTATTATGAACACGTGGCTTCATAACTATCCATGGCTACATTCTAGTCTAAATCGAAGGCCATAAAGAGCCTTCTTTGCCAGTTAGAAGTGTTGCTAAGGTTGATTCAGAAGTGGAGAAGTCAGCAAATGCTTCGAATGACTTACCAAACCAGGTGGTTGATGGAAATAATAGCAAGTAAAATATTTTCGGAATATAAAAGGCTTCCGAATTATTCCATCATTGAACTTAATATTTCCACGACTTTTCATGCATTGAAATATACCCGATATACGGTAGTACTATAAAATCTGCGGATTGCAAAGTCGCCAACCAACCACCAAACATGACCCTCCCAATACTCCCAGCTGTACGGTATAACTGATGTTGTACTTCGTATGTTCTAAAAGCTCCTCCCAGTTTCCGTACAACTGGTTCATAATAAGTAGTGTCAGTGTCTTCATCAAAAACAAGAACAAAGTTGAATATGAGAGCGTTACGAGCGTATCTGTTGTCCTCTATAGAGGCTTAGGACAACCAACAATCCTATAGCCCCCAGCATCACTGCATGGAGAGAGGTTACTCAATGTCAGTGTGTTATAGAGCCTCGACTAACCGGCATACACTGATATCAGTCGGTCATACAGCTGGGGTTTGGTTATCATCAGATCATGCACTGCGTCAAATGCTTCTCTAATTAATGGGGAACTCCTATCCTGGGGCACCTAATAAAGGGAGTAACTCCTCCTCTTACTAATGAGTAATGACTCACCTGGTAACTAATAACGGGCCAGCTATCGGATCAAACTCACTGAAGAATATACATTTGACCATAGATAATAGAGTAAATGAAACTACTATTATCTATTTACTCTATTATCTACGATTTAGTACCAGCCAAGATTGACATACACATCAACTGGATTGACAGGAGACGAAGATGAAGAAAGTGGACTGAAGTTCACTGCCATGTGGTCGTTTTGCCGATTTTTGACTTTCCACTCATACAAGGTTTAGAGCCACACTAATGGTACCAATGAAGTCCTCTGGTCAAGATTAGGTCTCCTAAGAAGTCTGGTAAGCATAGTAGCCCGTTTCCTGGTTTAGCAAGGCTTCAAAAGTTGTGGGAGCTATATTGTTTTAGGGTGAATCCTACTTAGTAATGCTATGATGTTACTCATACAAGTATACTGCTAACATACAACATACAACTCCTTTCAACATTGGTGATTGGAGTTGACCTAAAAATTAATTGAATGTCATAATTGACACTTCTAAGATACATACAACATGCTTTATTATCACATCACAAAATGACCTACATGTACATGTATACTAAGCAAACAAAACATGTAAGAGCTGTATTCAGTCTACACAATAACGGTACGCTTTACGGACACGAGAAGTTGCATAGATTCCCCATTGAAAGTGAACATTACTAAAGTATACTAGGACAGCCACAGATGCTTATACATTATCATTACTTGTAATAACAGAACACATATTACTTTTAATAATAAAAGTAGTCCTGCAAAATCAACTCAACAGAAGAAAGAGATACGCTGGGTCCTGTTGTTCCATCTTTTCAAAATCCCCATGCAACTTTGTTTTCTGTACAAATCAGTCACAGCTTGTTTGCAAGGCTAAACATCTTCAGGATGGTTAACGAAAATGAGTGCTACAGGATCGTGTTACTTGTTTGCCAAAGCACAAAAATATATGCACAATTTCTATTCTTAAAACTATCAGATCAAACACTAGAAGGAAATATGATCACTGTATCCCAGGCCAAAAAAACAACGATTCTAGCAAACTTTCTTGCTACTCATTTCATTGCTAGTAGCATGACCCACCATTTTGACCACTAGTTTAGCAGTGGGTTCAAAATTCCTAGATACACCACTAGATTATACATGTATCTGTATATTAAGCAGCATACATCCTGATAAAGATTTTGATCGTCCGATCACAAGTGAAACTACAGGCTTTACACAAGTGACACCCCCATGCAAAAGCATGCACTTTAGCTTTGCCGTGGTAATTTCACCCAGTTACCATGGAATTTTCAATGAATAATCATTAACTACATGAACCATTGCATTGAGATTCCTTAACTTCAGACACTGTTAGTGTACAATATATCTGACAAGGGAATTACAAAATTGAGATACAACTTACCTGAAAAGGGTTTAAAAGAATCTTTATTAAATGTATTTTCTATCCCAGACCATCCACTCATGGTTGTATCAATTTCTAAATTCTATAGTCTTCGAGATATACTTCTTCCTCGACTTCTTCAAAAACATGTTGCTCCACGAGTTGAGAAGAGTTTGAGCATGCGCATACTTGATGC